AGTAGTGGTAGTAGTAGTTTTAGTAGGAGGAGTAGCAGAAGTATTAGTAGTAGTATTAGTAGTAGGAGTAGTAGGAGGAGTAGTAGTATTAGTAGTTGTATTAGTACTAGGAGTAGTAGTACTAGTTGTAGCAGTAGGAGTATTAGTAGTAGTAAGAGTAGTAGTATTAGTAGGAGAAGTAGTAGTAGTTGCAGTAGGAGTAGTAGGAGTAGTAGTAGTAGTAGTTTTAGTAGGAGGAGTAGCAGTAGTATTAGTAGGAGGAATAGTAGTACTAGTCGGAGTAGTAGTAGTAGTAGTAGCAGCAGTAGGAGTAGTAGTAGTAGCAGCAGTAGGAGTAGTAGTACTAGTAGGAGTAGTAGTAGTAGTAGTAGTAGTTTTAGTAGGAGGAGTAGGAGTAGTATTAGTAGTAGTATTAGTAGGAAGAGTAGGAGTAGTAGTACTAGTTGTAGCAGTAGGAGTATTAGTAGTAGTAGGAGTAGTAGTAGTAGTAGTAGTGGTAGTAGTAGTTTTAGTAGGAGGAGTAGCAGAAGTATTAGTAGTAGTATTAGTAGTAGGAGTAGTAGGAGGAGTAGTAGTATTAGTAGTTGTATTAGTAGTAGGAGTAGGAGTAGTAGTACTAGTTGTAGCAGTAGGAGTATTAGTAGTAGTAAGAGTAGTAGTATTAGTAGGAGAAGTAGTAGTAGTTGCAGTAGGAGTAGTAGTAGTAGTAGTAGTAGTTTTAGTAGGAGGAGTAGCAGTAGTATTAGTAGGAGGAATAGTAGTACTAGTAGGAGTAGTAGTAGTAGTAGTAGCAGCAGTAGGAGTAGTAGTAGTAGTAGCAGCAGTAGGAGTAGTAGTACTAGTAGGAGTAGTAGTAGTAGTAGTAGCAGCAGTAGGAGTAGTAGTAGTAGCAGCAGTAGGAGTAGTAGTACTAGTAGGAGTAGTAGTAGTAGTAGTAGCAGCAGTAGGAGTAGTCGTAGTAGCAGCAGTAGGAGTAGTAGTATTAGTAGGAGTAGTAGTAGTAGTAGTAGCAGCAGTAGGAGTAGTAGTATTAGTAGGAGTAGTAGTAGTAGTAGTAGCAGCAGTAGGAGTAGTAGTAGTAGTAGCAGCAGTAGGAGTAGTAGTACTAGTAGGAGTAGTAGTAGTAGTAGTAGCAGCAGTAGGAGTAGTAGTACTAGTAGGAGTAGTAGTAGTAGTAGTAGCAGCAGTAGGAGTAGTAGTAGTAGCAGCAGTAGGAGTAGTCGTAGTAGCAGCAGTAGGAGTAGTAGTACTAGTAGGAGGAGTAGTAGTAGTAGTAGCAGCAGTAGGAGTAGTAGTACTAGTAGGAGTAGTAGTAGTAGTAGTAGCAGCAGTAGGAGTAGTAGTAGTAGCAGCAGTAGGAGTAGTCGTAGTAGCAGCAGTAGGAGTAGTAGTATTAGTAGGAGTAGGATTAGGAGTAGTAGTAGGAGTAATTTACACATTGCTGGGCAGACCAATAGAATAAGCTTCATCTTATAAATACTTGGGTTTTATATTAGATGATAACCTGTCTTTTAAATCACGTGTGGAACAGTTGATAAAGAAGTTAAAGTTGAAGTTGGGATTTTATTTTAGTGATAAAATAGTAATATTTTTCATAGTTGTACTTCAAAGACAACTTTGCACCCACTGGACTCAGTTCAGCCTTAAGATATTCAACTCATCACTATGAACTTTATGAAATGGTTGGACGGCCTTTACGTACAATGCGAAGACAAACTCATTGGATATTTTTTGTCTATAGGCAAATAATTGATCACCTTCCTTCATATTTGTCTACATTCATACAACAAATAAGTCTCGATACAGTTTACATTCCAGTACTTATATTCAGCTGGATGTTCCGTCGGTCTGATTATGGTAAAGCAGCTTTTGTGAGTGAATTTAAGATGATTGTTAAAGAACTGTATCATTCAGTTTGTACTTGTTTTTTATTTGGTTTTGACCCTGATTTGATTCTGTTGGTTGTGGTCGTGTTGTTTTCTTTGTTGATTGTTTCGTGTGCTGCCTTCTTGGCCAGAGCTCACTTGTAAAAGAGATTTTTAATCTCAATGTGATCACCCTGCTTAAATAAAGGTCAAATAAAAAATAAATAAATAATAGTAGTAGTAGTAGTAGTAGTATTTATAGCTCTCAAAAATGGTATGTTTTCATCTTATGAGTAGCTATTATTTAATTAAGTGGTCAGAAACTTGTATATTTTAGTCTTACAAACAATTCCTTATTTATTCTTTTGTTATTCAAAGTACAGTTTTTACCGGAACACTATTATTATTATTATTGTTATTAAAGCTGCACTAAGTACATATTTTGTTCTAATTGCAAGAAGCAGCATTACTGAAGATATGATGACAATGGCAGGTCTCTCTGAATACTCTTTCAGCAATTATTAGATGTATCCTCTAGAGAAGAGGCCTGAAACACATCCGATGCTACAAAATGTTCTTCTGGCTGTTCTTGTATGCAATTACACATTTTCTCCAAACTATAAATCACCACATCTTACATAGTGTAGCTTTAATTCTAGTTAAAAAAACACACTTCTTTTTATGTATGAACAGGACACATTCCATTTCTCTTAAAGGTAAATATTTACACTGTTGCACACTATGAAAAATATATTTTCATGCTCCAGTAATGCCAGAGATACAATGATTAAGTAAAGATGTGCTTATATCAACAATACAGGCGTAAGTCATGTCATTCTCATTCCTCATTTAGTTTATCTCACTAGTAGGAACTGATTTATGGGTAATAAAGAACGTAGAACACCAGATATGGCTTGGCGCCTTATAAACAAATCCACTGTCTAACTACATGTGACTCAACAATGATTTATAGCATTCATTCCATGTGTTTGTGCATACAGAGAATTCTGCAGGTCCCCTGTCTAATAGAGTCATCCTGGGCCAGTCAAGGTCATGAACCATTTATATCCACCATTAGCCATTCCCTTCATGGTTATTTTGCCCTATTATGACCCATTACGCATTTCCGTCACAATTCAATCTACTACAGTTGTCCTGCTCTGACTCATGGCGCAACCTTGGTCTACTTTTGTAATTTGATTTGCCTGTCTGGAGATCCCTGCAGGGAAAGCGTAATTGAGAGTTTGAATATGTCTGCGAGTTGTGTGTGGCATTTCCTTTCTGTCTTTCACTGAGGAATATGGAGTAACGGAAGAAACGGATGAGAGCCGAATGATCCGAAACATTTCCTTTTGTTCCCAGAGACATTTGTGATTTTCTGTGCCAATGACTTCTTTCTATTTACAGAGGATAAGAGTAGTAATGCAAATGATGCGGAATAGGGTTGCTCTGCTTCTCTTAGCTTGGATCAGATTTTATTATATTGGTCTAGATGTTGTGAGGAATACAGAGGTATGTAAAGGTTTGGACACCCCAGTCAAATTAGACGTTTTTGTTGATTTTCCAAGTGAAAAAGGTACCACATCTCCTGTAGAGAACATGCATCTGCACAGTTTAGTGAACGATTATTGCTTTTATTTGCTGAATATGACATATAGAAAAAAAGCCTGTGCAAAATTTATGGTACATTTTATATATTTTATGGGTTTTTTTTTGTTTATTTGTTAATTTTTTCAATATGTTAAACTTAGTATATGGGCACTAACATTTGTCCAAAATGCTAAGTTTGTACCTTGTAGAGGTAGCATGAACTTATTTTTATTTAGAAAATCAACAAAACATGTTATTTGATCAGGGATATCATTATGTGTAGTAATATAATAATGCGTACATATATATATATTTTAAAATGTATAAGTAAAGACTTTTCATTTATATAGAGGAAAAGCTTCATAGAAACAATACAGAGTTGGGAGTAATATTTAATAAGGTGCAGGAATTGCTCTAAATATTGTTTATTCATGATAAACATATACATTAGGTCTGTCTTTTTCACTAGGAAGTGACATCATGTGTCGACTGTTTGCTAGATGCGTACCTTTGGTAATAAGCAAGGAAGACAACGTGAGACAAAAGAACAGCGGTGTGAGAACGTGCAGCATGCAGATGGACATCTCCACAGGGGGACTGTAATCTGCATGCTCGCAACTTCTGTGTGGATATTTGGATGTCTTTGCCATAGCAACAGAGCTGCAACACGGCGCTGTAAAGACTTTGCTGAGGCTCAGTTTGCACAGCAGGCAGAGGGAGTGGGAGAAGACAACAAAGCAGCGAAGTGCTTGCTTACAGTTGCACTTCAGCATGAAACTGGAGGAATTTTCCCTTTTCCTCCAGTCAGGACCGGGGCAGCTTTGTGACACCAGGCTCCGAAGTGCCTGAGGTTGCGATCTCAGCTGCTCGCTGCTCTCTTAGTCCGTGGGAGACAAATGGAGGGACGCAACAATTGCATTCTTCACTCAGCATGCTGGAGCTGTGGACCGGATCCTTTTGTATCAGGCAGGCGAGTGATTGCCTTTGTCCATCGCCTGCAATCGACTGTGGGTAAATGAAGAAGAGCAAGGACGCTTTCACTTCATGTCTCAAAACCTCTTGTCTTGCTTCCAAAATTTCTTCTGATAGTGCCTCGCTAGGGTCTGTTTACCTCTGTCTGTGAATGTCCCCTCCCCTCTCTCTCTCCCTCTCGCTCTCTCTCTGTCTCATCGTCTCTCTCTCACTCTCCCTCCTTCCCTCCCTCCCACAGCTTGTTATCTCTCCTCCCCTCGCTCTCTCAAAGCCAGTAGTCTGTCTACAATTCAGTCCACACGCTGCTTGCTACATGATCTCTCGGAGAAGCTGCGTTCACGTCTTGCCCTCCCGCCTCCATGCGAGAGATATCCTTTAGAATTTCATCCTCGGGACAGCAGGATGCTTCAGTGCAGGCGCTGATTCCCTCCTTTTTTTCCTTGCGCCTTTCCCCTTCCCCTCCCCTCTCCTAATCTCCTGCCCTTTGACCCTCACCCTCCTCCTTTTCCCCTTGACCGCCCCTATTCCTCATCCACCTTCCCCTCCCGTCCCTCTCTTCCCTCCTTTTGTACCCTCTTGACCATGTTGCCATGTGTTTACCGGCTCCAGCCTCTCCTCGCCTTTGTATCGTTTGCCTTGCTGACTCAAGGGGAAAACTGTCCAGCCACCTGCCTGTGCCCGGACCATCACACCGTGGACTGTAGCGGCCGAGGACTTACTCGCCTTCCTGACGAAATCCCGCTGGACGTTCGCCGGCTGTTGCTTTCTGACAACTGGATCCCGCAGATACCCTCTGACTTCCTTGTGCTCTACAGTGACTTGGTGTACCTGGACTTGCGAAACAACTCGCTTTCCCACATTGAGCCGGGGACCCTCAGCACCTCCTCCAGGCTGGTCTTCCTGGACCTGGGCAGCAACAACCTGACCGAAATCCCCAAAGGAGCTTTTGGCGAGTCACGGAGCCTGATCAAGTTGCGTTTGGGCAACAACCCGTACCTGAGCATGGTCAACGAAGATGCCTTCAGGGGTTTGACCTCACTGAGAGAACTTGAACTGGAGCGCAATGCCCTGTCTGGCCTACAGGTGGGGGCACTGAGCCAGTTGCCTTCACTGCGTGTGGTGAGGTTAGAGGGCAATCCTTGGGTGTGTAATTGCACCTTTGCTAACCTCTTCACTTGGCTTATTGAGAACAGTCACAAGCTTCCAAATGGTAAGTTCTTGAGATTCTGCAGGTCACCTACTTTTCAATAGCATCTTTTTTTATATACCAGTACAACAAATCATTCTATTAATGCTGTTATTCCATCTTTATGTTAGCATCTTTTCATTCATGTCAGTACAGTAATCTATGCTATTAATAATACCCCAGTTACAAAGGGACCCCTTCCTGTGGGCTAAATATAGCTCCCTCTCTCCCACCCCCCAACAAGAAGGGATTTCCAGACTAATGACAGACAATCAAGGGCATTGTTCCAGAGGGGAGCCTTGTGAGGACCTCATCAGGTTGCATTGGGTACAGGATGGCCCCCTTATGTGTGGCTGAGCTCACGTTTATCATTTCTCATGGGTATGTGCTCCGTCAACGTCACACTTTCACATAAGCACCTGCCTCTCCCCTCCAAGCCTACGTGAGGGTCTTTGTATGCATGTTAAATAAATCTGCTTATTATATGTTGTGCATATGACCAGTTTTATTAGAACCTCCTGCTGTTGAGAAGCTGTTTGAAGCTGTGTTCTCACTTAGCTGGGCTTAATAATGGAGAATGATAGTAGAAGCTTATATAGAGTGAGCTGATCCTTTTTCTTCTTTATGTTTGAGGTGGAAACAGAGCTGGAGATAAATGCCTTCATGAGAGAAAAGGACTAAGAAAAGAGCCTCAAAATGTGCTTACATAGAGATGTGATTCAGTGATTAGAACACAAATGAAGTAGTTTAAATTGGAAACAAATTACTGGCAATCCCACATTATAAAACAGACACAGATTATTCATCTGGGGTCAGTTGGATGGCACCTGCTCACTTGATCTGTTTAATGTTCCATATGGTGTCTCTATACGCAATCCATCGAAACACCGAAAGTTCATACGCAAATTCAAATTGCAAAAACGCAAATTAGAAAATAAATAAAAAAAAAACAATCCCAGCTGTCACATTCCCTGAGCCAAGGTCATTTAACATGAAGGGACAGACGTTTACAATGCCAGGATGCTCACTCAGAGTTAGACTTTGTGATGATCACGTCTGCAAGAATAAGGACTCTGTTTGGGTACGTCCTTCACTATTATATTAGGTTTAAATAGATGAAAATAATAGATTCCTTTGGATAAACATAGTATCAGATGAGCAAACGGTGTACAGTTGGTGCTGCCCCCACGCTCCACTGTGTGTCTTTGAGAACAAGCAGACGAGCCCCTCTCCCGGCGTGTTTACATTCGAACATGACCTTGTGCTGTCTTTGTTTGTTATTCCCTAGCGTGTTTTAATCCTAGGATGGATAAGAGGCTAACCATGTCATAAAGAGAGACGGCTGTTTGTACAGTGGTAATCTATTCCCAGAGCAATTCCGGTCTCACTTTATTTGGATGCTCACTGATAGCTTATGTACAAATGCTGAAATCGTTAACAATCTGTCTGATGAAGCTCATGGATTAGGATTAAGTTTAGATGTTTAAGTGTTAAAGAAAAGTTAAGATGAATTTAATAGATATTTATTTGGATGTAATTGCTTATTCAGACTTGGCTGGTTTGGTTCAGTTCAAATGAAACATTTTGGGGTGTCTCGGTTTCACCTTCCAAAAAACTGTAGTGCGATTTGGTTTAATTATGAAAGTAATCAGGACCAAAGACGTCTAAACGGACGAAACACAAAATGAACCATCGCCTCTTCTCTGCAGACCTTCTTTAGTACCTGTAACAGACAAATTTCTGATGTTTTACCTTTGTTTTATAATCTCTTGATGAATTCTAAATCATGAATTATAAAATGGATAGTTGCAGTTTTAAAACCAGACTGAGGCACATTCGAAGCCATTATAAAAAGCATAAAATAAAAGCAGTAAGCCACCTAAGGCTGTGTGCATATACAGTACAGCGCAAATGTTTTAGGCATCTGAGAGAATTAGATTTAAAAAAATATTTCTCTGTAAACAAGTATTTGCTCAGAAAAAACACCTTTAGTACTATAAATCCAAATAACATTAATACAATAAGTAGTGATTTTATGTATGTCAGTATGTTTGTTTAACTATTTCCAAACCTCTCCAAATGGAAGCCCCGTATTAACTGTAGTTATACTCCAATACCTGATTTGACTAATCAATGCCTCATTATCTGAAATCATGTGAGCTGGTGATGGAATTTATCTAATCCATGCAATGGCTGGGAATATTGCGGAGAAATCTAGAAATGAAGCTTTGTTCTTCAGACTTGCTCATGAGTCATTAGCTACTTTAAAAAAAAAGTACAAAAGTTTTTTTTTGCGTTTATTCTAATGATAATAAGAATAGATGCAAATCTGTTTGCGTCTAAATATTATCTGTTGTGTTTTTAGTGAGTACAAGCACACTTATCGCCAGAGTCAATGGGTTTATAACAATGTGTGGCGCTTTTGCACATTGCTGTATTTGAAGTATAGACCTGGATCATTTGATAATGAAACTAAAAGAATGGATTTCTGGCACTAATGGAGGCAAAGAAGAAAATATCTCCAGATTCCTGACCAATAAATAAACACCCACGTGTATAATTTGGTACACTTTAGCTGATGCAGTGTGAAACCAACCAAACCAAATGAGAGATCCAATGGCACAGAAACCCAAACACTGGTGTGGACTTTAGCAGTTGAACCAGGTTTACGAGCAGCCAATGTATCATTTCCTACTTGTTCAGACCAACCGAACCAAACTACTCATATAAACACGCTCTTAAAGATGAGGAGCCTATACAAAGCATCTTCAGAGGACCATCCAAAGTACTACCGTAATGCCATAAACGTGGTCAAGTGTGGTGAATCTACTTGATAATACTTTATTATGCACTTTTGAGTTATGCCTGAAGGCTATGCATGTCATGACCACGTGTATCTGCCTCCTTTGTGCAAAGTTTGGGCTCAGGACCCTGGCACACTTGCAGTCAGGCAGTGGTGCAGTAGCAGAAATATTACCTCCGGTCGGGACTGCAAATGCATTTATCATGGACGCTCAGTGCGGTCTCTGCCTGGGCATAATAAAGTACATTAGAGAAAAAGAGCCAAGCACACATCAGCAGCAGCGTAACGGGGGCCAAGCCTCTGGCGTACCTGCCAACTGGCCCAGCGTGTGTGTACTTCCCAAACTGAGTTAGGAGCGTGCATCCTCACCTCATGTTCACCGCTTATTTCTGCATCACTGGCTCCTTATGACTTGAGGGAGGATGGACTGTGGCTGGTCAAAGCCATGAATAGACCAGAGTGACCTTTTTAAACACACATAAGAGGAGGTGGGAGACTGGCCCTGCCGAAGGGTTTTTCCAACTGAACTGGCTCTGAAAGCATGGGGGGGTTTGTCAAGGGTTGGATTGGAATATATTTAGATTTGCAGAGGTTCATTAGCAAGAGGATGGAAGGAAGGAAGCTTTTTCAACCCTTAATTTTGCAGGCTTATTTTTTACTTATAAATCTGAAATCTCCCCCCTTTAACCTTAGATATTATTTCGTTAGTAATCTTAGACAGGAGTTCCACTAATTTATTTGTAATTTCTGCATTATTCTGTCCTAAAGATGTGAACAAGGTCATTCAGACTGGTTAAAAGAGAAAATTGTTCTAAAAGCTGCATCACAAAAAGTTATTACATGAAATGGTTACAAATATGCTGCCTGATGCCTGAAACATTGTGGGACATTTCTTCACGATAGCTTAGAGATATGGGTTTGGTATAACATACATTTTAATATCTATACAAGATGGAGGGTTACAAGTAGGGTGTTGTAAGGAAGATTATACAACAGTTAGTTCTGCCCACGCAAGCTGATTGGTAGAGAATTGTTCTAATTTTTCCACAAACACTATCACTCCGCTGAGATGCTGTTGCTAAGCAATGAATTTGACAGCTGTAGGAGACGCTCAAGCCATTTCAACGTTTTTACTTCTTATTTTGCCACAAACAGAAAATGGACACTTTTAAGATCACATTTGACCGACAGCCGATTTGGTCAGACTCTGAAGATGAGACGACACTAAATTCCCAAACTGTCATCACCACTGAGCAGCTTTTCAGTCGGCAGCTGTGACAGAAGAACAGCTGAACAACCTGGAATCAGCCAGAAATGAACCCAATACCATTCGCCAAACGTGTAGTCTGATCTTCAGAGTCTGACCAAATCAGACTGAGCCATAAAACTGTCGCAATATCAGGTTTAGCTCAGGTTTGTCAGTCTTTGTCAGATCAATATTAATATTGTTTTGTTCCAGCCAGTCTGTAAATCATCTTACAGCCCATTTAGTTTGGCGAATGGTGTTGGGTTCATTTCTGGCTGATTCCAGGTTGTTCAGCTGTTCTTCTGTCACAGCTGCCGACTGAAAAGCTGCTCAGTGGTGATGACAGTTTGGGAATTTAGTGTAAGGAGCTGGAGAACGAACTGCCGGTTGTGCAGCGAGTGGGCGGAGCTCGTTACTCTGACGTAGCAACAAGCTGCTTGTTAAGGAACTATAATTTGGTGAAGGAACTGCGAACATTAAAACATATTAAACGCCGCGTTCACGGCCCAGTTTATTAATTTATTACTTAATTTATTTAACTGTTGTATTAAAGCAATAGAACACTCGAGGAGTGTGTTATCGCCAATAACATCACGGCTCAAATCACGGAGATAACACACTCCCTCTCGTGTTCTGTTGCTTAAATAGCACCCGGAACTAACTAACTAACTTACTGACTGACTGACTGACTGACTGATTTGCCACTATTTTACCATAATTAACATCATATATAAACAGCCAGCAGACATGAGTTGGTTTTATTGGTCATTGTGGATAGCAAATATAATGAGTAACATTAAAAACATTTAAGACTTTCATTAACTGTTATTGATTATTTGGTATAACTCTCATGAAGTGAATAGCCTACATTTTTATATTTATTGAAATGTGGGTCCACATATGGTCCCTTAATGTTTAAGGAGTTAAGACGTATTATTCAGAAACTACTATAAATTTTTGGTAACTACACCAAAA